GTTCCATACAGGGCACGATACCATAGTCTCTTGAGACTGAAGGATGCCTACTACTACCACCCATTTAGTTTGGAATTCTAGAATTCAATAAGTATTTCTTGTTTAACATAAATGGATAGAAATTTTTACATGAGGTGGAGAGAAAAAACATTCAAATACTCTGATACAACATGGGGACTTACTTGGCTTGGAAGTAGACATGGAAGATTTGTATTCATCTCCCAGGGGAGACAAATATGAAGCACGGCAGCACAGTCGTCCCACCAGACTTTTCTCACCCCCCAGTACCAGCCCAGTCCACTTTCTGGGCTCCTTGGCACGCATGTGTTACTCTGCCTCTTCCTGCAGCCAACTACTCCAGTGAGGAGACAGGAAGATGAGTCTCACCAGCTGAGGAGAGAAGAGGGTCAGCGCCAGCGGGATGGACCCGATTGGCATGATGTCACTGTTGCCAGGCACTTGTGCATCAAGGAGCCTGGTAAGTGGATCGTGCTGGTTCTGGGGGGCAGAGAAGGACTGCAGGGATCCCTGTGCTTGCGGCCTTCCTATTCGTGTAGAGTTCCCATGTCTACTTGGAAGTAAACTATTTGAAAAGGACTTTGGGATTGCATGCAATTAGAAGCTAAACCTCAGTCAACAGTGTGGTGGCTAATGCAAGTTTCTTCTTGTTGTTCCTCTCTCGTCAGAAGTTGGATTTTATCATAGCTGTACTCTTTTGGATGCAGCACATGAATGCTATATTGGGTCCACACTAGTCAGGTTCCTGAAGTGATGCATTCTTCTCTGTCCTTCATTTTTTTCTTACTTATTTTACCTATGAGCTCATTTTTTTACTTATCTCTGCTCATTTCCCTTTATGTGACCCAAGTATTCTTTGTGCAGTTATATATAATATTTCTTCCTCTTCGTTCATGCACTTTAGTACCACTCTGTTGGCTATCTTTTTGATCTAACTGCCTTTTAGTATATCACAACAGATCCACATTTCAAATGCTTCTGTATTTTTATAGTTGCTGCATTACTGTGTATGATTCAGTTCCATACAGTGGAACTGAGTATACTGTACATATTGTATTGTATTGTATTGCATTGTATAAAGCAGACTCACAAAGCCAATTTTAACTTTTTGTTTCATGTTATACATAGAATGATTCCTGTTTTGTAGATTTGATTTAAAAAGTTCTTTAAAAGATCTAAGTCTTCATCTTCTGTTAGCTCTAATACGTCTACAAAAACATCTTTTGACTTTTTTTGTTAGGTTTCATGTTTTGCACATCTGTTTTTCCAGTTCAGAATCAACATGCAGCACAATTGGCTGTTGGCCCATTATCATGAAATAGATTTGTAATCATTCTACACTGTGATTTTACCCTTGACATAAAGTATCAGATCATTATTACTATCTCTCAGTACAGTGGTGCCTCGCATTACGATGTTAATTCATTCCAGCGAAATCGCTGTAGAATGAAAACATTGTAAAGCGATTTTTAAAAGCCCATAGAAACGCATTAAAATCCGATTAATGTGTTCCTGTGGGCTTCAAATTCACCGTCCAGCGAAGATCTCCATAGCGCGGCCATTTTCACTGCCCGTGCAGCGAGGAATCCATCCCAGAAAACAGCGGGCGGCCATTTTTTTAACCCGGCGGCCATTTTGAAACCACCAATCAGCTGTGCGAAAATCGTTTTGCGATAATCGGTTAGCGAAGCAGAGAATCGATCATCGCAAAGCGAAAAAACCCCATAGGAAACATCATTTTGCGATCGCTTTTGCAATCGCAAAAACTTCGTCGTTGTGCGATTTCGTCGTAAAACGAAGCACTCGTCTTGCGAGGCACCACTGTAGTTAGCATTTAAAAAAAAGACTGCTATGCCTTGATCTTTTGATGCACATTAAGGGCATTGTGGATCTTCTCTGTTTCCTATTTGTGTACATTGTTTGGATCATTTTTCTTTAACTTCCCTAATTTTGCTTTAGATATTCTTGTGTAATTTTTATTATTTGATGCCATCATTATTCTGTTTGCATCTCTCTTTTATTAGCAATACTTGCTTAATTTTTATAATTTTTATAATTTTAATTTTTTTACATTTTTATTGATATTTAATTGTTTATTTTAAGTGTTATTAGCCACCCAGAGTGGTCAATTGATCAGATGGGTGGGATATAAGTAAGTAAGTAAGTAAGTAAGTAAGTAAGTAAGTAAGTAAGTAAGTAAGTAAGTATAAGTAAGTAAGTAAGTAAGTAAGTAAGTAAACTTTTATATCTTTTTTGCATTTTTTATTAAAGGATATGCAAGGATGGCATATATGTCAGCATTATATCTCATATGTCAGCATTAGGGTATGTTTTCACTGATTTTAACATGCTTTGGTACCTCTGATTAATTAGGATATAATTCCTTACAATATTTATTGTTAATATCATCTTGCAGGGATTTCCAGGTATAGAAAACTTACCTTGGTGGTAATTTGCATAGAGTGTTTGTGTCCTCAGTTTCTTTTTTATGATATTGTATCCTTCATTTTCTGCTTTATGCATGTTCCTAGTCTGTATTTTCCAGTAAAAATCTGCAGATGATTTGTGGGATTTCCTCTTATTTGGATAATCATTACCCAGTCTGAGTATGGGATTCCGTTTGTAATAGCTGAACTTATTTCTTTCATTACTTTGTAATTCCATAGTAGTGGTGTGTTTCACTGCTGCTTAAATAAAATACAATATTCCAAATTTGACTGGATCCTGGCCAGTGAATTTCACTTGCTCCAAAGAGCTGAATGTTCAGTCTTTTCATTTCTTTGACTGTATTGTGGATTTTTCTTGCTTCATACATTCTTGCTTCATACATTTTAAATTTATAATCTTAATTTGAGCCTCAAGATAATTACCAGTAGTACCCTTTGGGTATCTAAAGAGTATTGAGTATTGATCCTTTTGACATTTCTGCCTAGCCATGGCAAATGCTCTTGTAAGACATAATATGATGGTTTTCCATTGTCTTTGACATCTTGGTGTTACAGCCAACTAGGATGGCAACCACCATGCTGGCAGATTTCCATTAGAGATGGGGGTATTTGTATACCAATACCCACACACAGGTGGACATAACGAAGATCCAGCCCCCTGGGGCTGGATGGTCCACTCACTAATCCACTACTGCTGCGGGTGCCGCAGAGCCTTCCAATAGCTCCGAAGATCACATTTGGCTTGCCGCTCTTTGACGTAGCAGAGAGGCTTGTCCCGCCTCCTGCCAGGAGTGGCAAGCCAAACGTGCTCTTCAGATCCATTGGAAGGCTCTGCAGCATCCGGATCAGTGAGTGGACCGTCTGGCACCAGGGGGCTGGACCTCATTATGTCCACCTGTGTGGGGGTATCTCTGATTTCCATACTGAAACCCAACCAGCATCCTTTGCTTTTGATTGATACTGATATTGCTGTTACTAAGATCAGGTGGGGTGTAAAGGTGTTCTAGTTCTTCAAGTCTCCATAGCTTTCCTGGTCAAACATCAGTAACTGCAAGTTTGTCCAGCAACCCGGTTAATTAACTACTACCTGATACTGTGCCTTGTTCAGCAAAGTCAGGCCTCTTCTATAGTTTTAAGTTGCATTAGTAGAACCGTGGTTTCCAAATCATGATGAGTAGTAAATATTTTATTCTGCACTAAGGTTACTCTATCTAGAGTCCAGTTTTGTGTATTTCATTTTTAAAATAATGTAGTCAAATGCTAATAGGTTCAGAAGAGGGTAATGGAGCACCTCAGAACTATGAGAAACAAGGTCTGTGAAAAAAACTGCGTATGTTTTGCCTAGACAATGGAAGATTTGAAGCTGGGATGATGAGAGCTTTACTCAAGTAGCTGAAGAACTGTCATGTAGAAATTGACAAGAGCTAGTTCTCTGTTACAAGGGATAGAACCACTTGTAATGACCTTAGGTTCAAGAAGGTTCAAGATTCTTTGTGGCAGAATTGGTTCAGCAATGCAGTCGGTTATTCAAGAGAGTTTGAGTTCTGCCCCTGTAGATGTCTTTAGGCAAAAGTTATTTGCTGGAGATCAGAAACAGAATTTACAAGGAATGATGCAGGTGTAGATTTTCTGTATTCTACAGCAGAGGTCCCCAACTACTGGTCTGTGGCCTGGTGCCAGTCCGTGGCCCGAACTGGACTGGGCCGTGGAGACAGACCTCCCACCCACCTCCACATGTACTCCCCCCCCGCACATCCCGTTTGTCCATGCGTGTGTGCCAGTGCCCACACAACCACTCCCCCAACCTTTTGCGCATGCTTGCAGGTGCCTGCACGAGCACCGTGTTGTTGTTTGTGCATGCACACAAGCACCTGCATGAGTGTCACACCGCCGTTTGTGGCTGCACAAGTACCCTCCCGCTCCTTGGCACATTAGTGTGTGTGTGCTCCTTCACGCATGCATGTGAGCATGAGGGGGTGCCCCGCCATCCCCAGCCAGTCTGTGGGGTTAAAAAGGTTGGGGACCCCTGTTCTATGGGATGGACTAGATGTCATATAAGGAAGTGGTCCCCAACCTCTTCCCAACCACAGACTGTTTGTGGGGATGTGGTGCGCCCACGGGGGCGGAGCTATCGCAAATGCACACAACCCGCTCACAGGGGGGGCAGATACGCTTGCAGGAGGGGGTAGGAGATCTGTGTCCGTGGCCTAATCCTGGATAGCCCATAGACCATTGCCAGGTCACAGACAGGGGGTTCGGAACCTCTGATATAAGGCATGTTCTACTCTGTGATTCCTATTAATAGAGCATGTATCATTTAGCATATCTGGCTACTTTTGCTTAAAATATTTTGTTTAAAGGTATACAACACTGAATTCTTTTTAATTGCAAAGTATCAAACTATAACTTTTATTGTTTTTAGTTCAACATTTTGTCCTTTCATATACTTCTTCATATTGTTCATTGTTTTTCTAATTAAATTGTGATTGACATGGTCTATAATATCTTTCTTCCATTATGTTGTCATGGAAACAGATGCATCTCGAGCACTTCCAGAGTTTGGAGAAGTTGAAATCTCTTCCCTACCAGATGGTACTACTTTTGAGGATATTAAGTCATTGCAGAGTCTCTATCGAGAGCACTGTGAGGTAAGGACAACTGGTTCTTTTAAGCAGAATTGGGAAGTAATTTGTTGCAAGTAACTGTTATCTATGACACATTACTTTTGAGGGTAACAAGGGCATAATAGTGTTCATTTTTTGAACTGGATAATATGACTAATAATGTCATTACTTTTTCCAGTGTAATATTATTGGGAGGGCATTTTAATGTGCGGTTGAATTTTTTATTATTGTTTATTTAAAATTTTAGGCCATTTTCTATAGATGGGTTTTTTTTAAGGTAACTAAGTAGTCTAAAAAAATAATGACATTATGTTACAAACAGTGAGTAACATATCAAACTGCCAATAATATGTTTTGTCACTTTACAGGTAATTCATTACTTTGACAGATTTTACAAGTTGCATCAAATATTACTTTAAAAGTTAACTTTCCAAGCTCTGCTTCAAAGCTGTTTGTTTTTTGACATTTAATGCTGCCAGAGCTCTCAATGTGATGTACTATAGTATGTTCTGGAATAAGCTCTGTTGCCTGAAAACCAAAATATTGCCTAGAAAACTAACAGTACACATAGCAAATTGTTTGTGTATATTTGAAAATACACACTTGTGAGCCAAAGAATTGAGAGGTGCTTTAGCTGCTCTCAGTGGCTTGCTCATATTCATTGAGATTCATTGGAACAGTATTCTATGTGCCACACAGGAGCTGCTCTGTGGTTTCCTGTATGGGTTGCTGTGCAGCATGAGAAGCTGCTATTCAGGTGATTAAAATATCTACCAAGATTTGTACAGTTGAGTTGTTATAGCCCTGATTCAGAATGTAAGCTGCCAGGTAGCCGCTGGGTGGAGAGCTGAAATAATTTTAACATATTTTAAATATCAAATATTTAAAATATTTGATAAAGTTTTTTTTTATTAATCCTATCCTTTTGCATAATCCCAACATGTGGGATTGTGCGTGCACAGCCCAACAGATAGAACACATTTCACCCTCTCAAAACATGCTTAAGGGAACTTAGGCTTTGCAGGCAACTAACTTCCTCCATTCAGCTGTTGATACTAGAAAGTGAACAGTTGCCAAGAGAACAGGACACTTATCTGTAGATAAGTAGAAGATGGTGAGTGCAAGGGTGACTTGGCATCTCGTGAGAACAGCACCCTAAGCTTGTTGAAGTAGTCTTATCTGTTTATATAAGTAAAAAATGTAGGAAAGTATAGGTGCCCTCCTTATGCAGTTCATAGTTACTGGTCTCTTTGTGTTATTCTTATTTTATTTATTTTATTTTTATAGACCAGCACTTCAATTGTGATTTCAGTTCTTGTCATCTCTACGGGTCTTCTATGCAGCAGCTGATTAAATATTATATCTGGACATAAAACATACTACAATATTAGTTTTTAATCCTTCCTTTAGACTGTGAAAGTTTGCCTTTACTAAAGAATCTCAGTTTTTGCTCCCAGAAATAGCTTTCCATACCATACAGAGCTGAGCAATAAGTTCACTTATGGGACTTACAGGACTATACATTCAAATGTATAGCCACTGTGTCTGTTTGACATTATTATTTATGTCACAGTTCTAAATATATTTACTGAATGAGTCTCATATTTTCCTTTGTGAGTAAGTTTAGGATTCTATTCATAGCCTTCAATATTTTATCAATTCAGATTCAATTATTTTTTTAAAAAACTGCCTGCTCTGTACTTTTAGGCAATATTGGATGTTGTAGTGAACCTTCAGTTTAGCCTAATAGAAAAATTGTGGCAGACCTTCTGGCGCTATTCTCCCTCAACAACAACCGATGGCACAACAATCACTGAACCCAGGTTAGTAATCTTCCCTCCCACCCAAGTTTGTGTCTATAGTTTAGTGTAATTTTCAAATAAAATAAAAATCTGAATTTTATATTCTTACTAGGAATGTTATCTCTCTAATTACTAGATTAAATTGCACTATATATTTATATGCATATCATCTTATTTTATAATAAGGCCCAGTTATTTTCTCATGAAATAATATCCAATCCAAAGACCATTCTTATCACTGCTGCATAAAATAGTGCTTTTGGCTAAAATTCTGGAGGTCATGTATCAGCCATTACAACACAAAGTGCTTCAGGGCGGTTGGATGCGTTTCAGACATCTCTAATGTTTTATTTAAAAAAGCTTTGAAGTCCATTGTTCTTTTTTATCTTCATGTAAATGCATTTTCATTTATTCATTTAATACATTTGTTCACACCAGCAATCTGAGTGAAATAGAAACTCGACTTCCGAAAGCAAAGCTGATTACTCTGTGCAAAAATGAGTCAATTCTGAAATGGATGTGTAACTGTGACCATGTGATGTACCAAGCTTTGGTGGAGATTCTCATTCCTGACGTCCTTAGACCTATTCCTAGTAAGTTGAATATAGATGACGTCTTGTAAGGATTTTTTTCTTCTGGTAATCTTGTGCCTACAGTACCCCCAAGGAACACATTAGGAGTTACATTAAAAACTATAGAAGCAGTGTGGGTCAAGTCATTTTTATTTACAGTGTAGAGAAATACACTTTACAATAATAAATATTGTACTTAAGATTCTAGAGTTCTGTTCTTGAAAAAATAGGCTTTAACGTGTTTATGGTATATGCATATTTGAATTGTACTTTTTCCTGCCACAGCAGTGTGTGCATTCTTTTTTTATAACAACAGAATTGTTGTGAACTTTTCCCTGCTCTGTATAATGGATTCCAAAACATTGAAGGTTCAAATGTGTGTGTCCCGTTCGTGTCAAATTCATTTTTGCATTAACTTCATCAGGATGAGGACCTAACATATAAGTGGTATGTGCCCAGTTGTATTGCATGTCAGTGATGTGTCCTCAAATTTTCAGTGGCATGTTGTTACTACTGACAGGATACTCATTTGTATTTTACCATTTCTGCAGAATTGCTTTCACATTTTTAGGGGGAACAATACCCCAGACATCTTACTGAGTATTTGAATTGAATATAGCAAGTTACTTCTGAGAGATTTACTAGGATTTGTAGGTTATCAATTTACTACTCAGTTGCACTATCAGAAATGTAGTGCAAATGTTTTCTTGATTCTTTTCATTGTTCTTGTCTTTTATTTTAGAAATGCCAGGAATGTTACAGACTCAATGTGTAATTGCAAATACTGTATTTATGCTAGCCAGCTATTATCAAATTGGTTTATTGGACGAGACTTTTCCTTTCAGGGAAAAATTATTCACATCCATGGAGTGTAGTTTGTTGTTGTTTCATGTAGAAAGCTGATTTATTCCAGATTCCAGCAAAACAATTTTTATTATAAACCATTAGATGTGTGCCAAGCATCAGAATAAATAGTTATAAATGTCTTTCCCATTACCAGTAATGGCCAGTAGTTTCACTGGGGGAAAATCTATATAACTGCACAGGCATTGTGTTCTTTCTGTGAACAATTATTTTGTAGTCTGATCAGACGTTCTCATGCCTCAAAGCTACATGTAGCAAACAACACCATTTTCTTCTGAACTCACAATGAGTGTTGCTTGCTATTATAGTTCTTGCAAAATGTTCAGTAAACATGCAAATTTAGCTTTGCAAGAACATGTTACTGACCTTCACTTGTGAATGAGGTAGAATAAAGCATTCCTATTTACACTACATGTGGCACAACTTGAATGTTTTTCTGGAATTAAGACCCAATGTCAGTTTTATCCAGTGCATTTTTATAAAATGTGGAGCCAGTATATGCCAATAAAATATGTGAAATTTATGTATCTTTTATTATAGTAAAGTAAAAGTAATAGGTCTAAAATATTTTATTTGAAATGTATTTGACTAAATCCATTTTGCTATGATCTAGAGACTAGTTTGTGTAATAGTCCTCCCCCCAAAAATATATGATGCAGAATCATTCTTGAATGGGATTATATCATTCCAGTTTTAGTCTGAATTGTAACTGTAACTGTAACTGTCAACATGCCAGGGGATAAACATTTCCAGAAAATTCACCAGTAAGGAATTCAGTCTTTGCTTACAGTGTGGTATAGTGGATAGAGTAGATAGACTCAGGATAGGCAGATTCAGGAGACTTGGGTTCAATTCCCCACTTGCTATGGAAGCTTACTGGGATGAGAAGGTGGAACTATTAAAACCACTCCTCACTTATCTCACTTACCTTAAAAACCCTATTAAAGTTGCTGTAAGTCACCTTTGAATTGATGATGTATACAACACACAAAGAGGAAAAACAAGCTGACTCAGTGTAATTTGGGAGCGTCATAGCATTCCTACAATATATTTTTTTTGATTCCTCAGAAATAGTGAAATGAGAATTTGATATATTTTATTAAAGGCTACCAAATCCTAGTCATTTCTGTGAATACTGCAGAAAGCAAAGAAATCTTCCAAAATATGCTCATGAAGCTGGTTAACATGATAGTAAACTGGCCAGGCAAAATTCTTATTAATGTTATCTCAGAAAACAGCATCAGTCCCTTTGCACAAAGAGTGTTAAATGAAAGGCCCAAGGATCCCTCCTGTACCCTTTACAGATTTTTGAATTATATTCATGGGGAATAATCTTGTGCCACTAAAAGAGCAAAGAGGCTAATTTGCCTGTGGATTGATTGTAAATAAACAACATTTAAAATTACAGTAACTGTGTCCTCAAGATCAACAAACCGAGAGAGCAATGGTGCAGTGAATTGCTACAATGTGCAATGTTGAATCTGAAATTCATCATCTTTTGTACCCATGTGAGAGGAAATGGAATGAATAGTGATAAAGTTGGTCACATCCTATAGGTTCCATGATTATTGGGGGAGGTGAGTGGAAGCAATTTTGGCCGGCAGTGGGATCTGTTGTGCCATGTAGAAGGATTTTGAAACACAGTTTGTGGAAACTAGAATCTCTTAGGAGATGTTAGTGCTTAAGAGAGATTGAATAGAAGATAATTTGGTGCTGAAAGTGTAATTGACAATGTTCCCTAGAAAAAGTATGAGTCAACCCTCTGTGTATTTGCTGGGTGAGAGTTTAATCCTCCAGGGCATTTCACTTTCATGCTCCTATCTTAGCTCCTCTGAAGAAATAGAAATATAATATATAATGTTGTTATTACATATAAAATACTACATATAAATGGCACCAAAATTTCCCTAGTTCATTCATTTTTTATATATATATTTATTGTTTTAGTATAGTTTTACTTACCATGCAAGCCACCTTATAGGAAAATGCTGTTTTAAGCAAATTGATGAGTTTCTGGCTGAAATTTCAGGATTGGATCCAGTGAAATAGGATAAGAAAGTAAAATATTGGCCAGTATGAATTCAAAAGCAAAGATTAGTAGTAGAAGCAAAAGGAAAATAGAGCCTTTTGTTCATCTGCATGAGAAGTCAGGGAGTTCTAACGTCTGATGATACGAGTCATGTGAGTGACAACAATTAAATCTTGCAAGTGGAATAAAAAAATCAAATAGCTCTCCCTCTAGATGCTCTCATATACCGTCAAACACTGTAAATAGTTTGGATTGATTGTAAATAAATGGCACATCTATCATCAAACATCTCTATAAAATATTGAATGTCAGGATAAAGACTCTTGAGTCAAACAATTATTCTTTTTATTCATGAATAGCTTTTGTCTAGTGTTTGAACCTCAGAAATATCCCTTCCTTCCTTCCTTTGCTCCTGCCACTAAATGACTGGCATTCCACATTCTTTGCATACATATTATTCAAATTTCTTGTGTTTTTGTTTGCTTCTTGACTTCCAGGTTCATATCTTGTTTCTGTTTCTTCCGCTCCAGGAGTTCCAGTCATCTTCTTCATTCTTTAGTTCTGTAGGTCTTTGTCTCCTTCTGTTCTGACCAATTATCCTATGCTTTCATGATGTTACAAGGAAATCTGTCAGTATATTCATTTCACAAATACAGTGTTAAAAACATAACTGAAGATGCTGATATTGATGATGAGCATCATTATCCTTATAGCCAGAAACTGATGGTTCGATTATTAGAGAACATAGTTGTGGAAGTGGAGAGGGAAATTAGAAACCAAATGAATTTATTGTATTTGTGTTCACTACAGTGGTCGACTAGCCATTTTAATTTGATTTGAGAGGGAGATGTTACGAACCAAGTCAAATAGAGGTGAGAGAAGTGAGATTTCATTTTAGACTTAAGTGACAAATCACAAATGAATACATCTAAAGTGCTGACAGCACAACCACTAAGGGACATAGACTATTTTCTAAAAACAGACTAGTCTATAAGATACCAATTTTTGAAAAGTGATTTGGTGGGAAGAAGCAAACAATTACAGAAAATCCAGAAAACAATAAGCAATATATTTTTAAAATTTTCTCTACTATGTTACTATAGAGAAGCAAATCTTTTCATCACATGGATGGCTGGATTGTTCAGTTATTTGGGTACCTGTTTGTGTATCCAGGGGACAAGAATTTGGTTCCTCACTGTGTGTCCCAGGAGAAGAGCCGGCTTGTGTAGCTTTTGGCAAGATGCATAGTCCCTGAGTTCCCCCAAAAGAAGAGAATAGTAAACCACTTCTGAATATACCAAGAAAACCCTGAAAAAAAGATCAAGTTGGAATTGACTTAATGTGTTGTTGTTAATGATATTACTACTATATAAGTATTGGCTATTAAGAACCCATTCTGCATTAAAAATAAAGGTGGTCACAGAAATGTAAAAAGAAAGTCCTAAGTTCTAATTAGTAATGTTTTCATTCTTTTTAATTCTAATATCTTTCAACCATTCTGTGATAGTTAAGTTGAAAGCAGGTTAGAACTATTTTTTTCACTCCTGCATTGATAGTGACAAGATTTGCCATTTTGGGCAGCCTTAAACAATTCTTAGCTTTGTAGAACTGTTTGACTGTTTGCTTGCCTTCCTTTCAGATAAACATACACATATTTACAAACTCTTTATTCTGTTGCAAACACAAGACTAGCCATATTACTTCATTTCTTTAAAAAAATAAAATATTTATATCCTTCCTTTCAACCTCGGTAGTTTCCTGAAAGAAAATCAATTTAAAATATTTGAAATTGTTTAAGCAGCAATGTGGTATAGTGCAGTGGTCCCCAACCTTTTCCCAACTGCAGACCAGTTGGGGTGTGTGTGTGGTGCACCCGCAGGGGGGTGGAGCCCACACGCATGCATCTGCATGTCACACTCAGGGGGCGCTCACATGCATGCACACAGTACGCTCGGGGCAGAATGTGCTTGCGCGTGATGCTGCTTGGGGCGTTCATGTGCACAGCACGCATGGGATGGAATGCACTTGCACACATGCACTGAACAGTGCTCGAGGAGGGGTAGGAGATCTGTGTCCGCGCCCAGTCCTGGATAGGCTGCGGACTGCTGCTGCGTTGCGGACCGGGGGTTGGGGACCTCTGGTATAGTGGATAGAGTGTTAAACTAGGAGTCAGGAAACCTGAATTCAAATTCCACTTCAGTCATAGAAATTCACTTGTGGGGACATGACAATGGTGAACCACTCCTTGAAGATCTCACATATTTTTTTAAAAAGTTAGGGTTGCCACAGTTCAGGAACTACATGACAGCATAAATAGCCATAGTACAATAATGTATTTGGAATAAATCCAATGTTCTGATGGTGCTCACAGCAAAATTTTTGTTTCCCCAAAAATGGCTTCACGGGAGTTCCCACTCATCCAGGGCTTGCTTTGAAAGTACGCAGAAGACCTGTGGTGAAAAAAGGGTCTCCTCATTTAGGTTGCATTATCTCCTGTTATTCCACCACTGGAACATCACTTCTCACTTGACCTTCTACTTTGTATGCATTTCATTGGTCCTAATAATGATATTAAGCTGCTGGTTTTTTTTATATTTTTCTATGATTTAAGTAAAGATTGTGGCCATTTATCAGAGTGCTGCAGCTATATATAGAGTCAAACATGTAACATTAAGAGTGTAAACTGATGGTGACATGTCAACTATTGAATGACTGTTAACATTAGTGTACATTAAATACTGATTTTTAATGGGTAGGTATTAAGAAGTTATCAAATCCACATTTATAATTAAATTGAAATACTATACTTGTTACGTAAATACACTGCTGTTCTTTAAACCAATTACTGTACTTTTATTTAGTTCAGACTGTTGTATTTTGCTTAGAGGGGAGGTTGTAGTCCATGATGTAAGGAATGTGGCAAATATGTACAGTGGTGCCCCGCATACCGACGTTAATCCATTCCACGATTAACATCGCTATCCGGAAACATCGCTATGTGGGGGGGAACCCATAGGAACGCATTAAACTCCATTAAGCGAGGCACCACTGTACAAGTGGAAGAGATCAGATTGCAGCTTGGGATTGATAAACAAATAGTCAAGGAATACCTTATTACTTTAAACAAGTTCAGATCTTCAGGTCTTGATGAACTGTATCCAAAAGAATTGAAGGAACATACTGAAAAACTACCAGAGCCACTGTTTGTTATTTCCATGAAATCATGAAGGATGGGTGAATTGCTAGATGATTAGAGGAAGACTTATGTTGTCCCTTTCTTTGAAAAGGGCAAAAAGGAGAAACATGCGAACAAAAGGTCAGTCAGTCATGCATAAATCCCAGGGAAAATTCTGGAGCAGATTATAAAGCGTACATCAGCACCTTGAAAATAGTGCAGTGATAACTAGAAGGAAACACAGGTTTGACAATACCAGGTCTTGCCCAACTAATCTTATCTCATTTTTATGGGGTAACCTCACTGATAGATCGTGGGAATGCTGTAGACATATCCTGACTTCAGTAAAGCTTTTGACTATGTGCCCCGTGATATTCTGATTAGCAAGGTAATGATGTGTGGGTTGACTTAGAACAACTATCAGATAGATCCACAGATGAGAGAGTTCTTATCACCATTTCTTTTTCAAACTGGGAGGATGTAACAAGTGGGGTACCACAAGGCTCAGTTCTGGGCCTGGTACTCTTTTGATTAATGACTTGGATGAGAAAATGCAGGAGATACTTGTAAAATTTGTGGATGACACAAAATTGCGTATAATAGCTAATATGTTGGAATACAGGAACAAAATTCAAAAAGATCTTGATAGACTGAAGCACTGGGCTAAAAACAACAGAATGAAATTTTAACAGGGATAAGTGCAAAATTCTACACTTGGGGGGAACCAAATGTACAGTTATAAGATGGAGGATCCTTTACTAGAAGTAAAGGGGATGTTGGAATTGTTGTGGATCACAAGCTGAATATAAGCCAGCAGTGCAATGCATCTTCAAGAAAAGAAAAGAAAAAGCAAATGCTGTTTTAGGCTGCATTACCAGAAATGTAGGCTTCAAATCACATGAAATACTAGTTCCTCTTTATTTAGGCCTCCTTTTGTGGTCTGTGTCCAGGTCTGGACACCACATTTAAGAAGGATGTAGACAAAGTGAAACAGGTTCAGATAAGGGCAATAAGGATAATAAAGAGGCTGAAAACCAAGCACAAAGAGGAAAGACTGTAAGACCCGGGCATGTTTAGTGTTGAGAAGACTGAGGAGAGATATGACAGCTTTTTTTCAAATACTTGAAAGGTTATCTTACAAAGGAGGGGCAGGATTTGTTCTCCATGATTTCATAGTGCAGGATACATAAAAATGGGCTCATGTTATAGGAAGCTGTATTTCAGTTGAATATCGGGGGGGGATCTTGTTGATGGAGCACCTATTTTCCATTTCCATTCCTTCTCCCAAAAGCCAGTCAGCATTTTGTGGGTAGTGTGCACTTTAGGCTGTTGAGGCAAGTTTCTGAGAAGCCATCAGACAAATTGCACTGTCATCCTATAAGAGAATTTCTGCTTTCATTCTAGTTTTTTATATATAAATAAAAGCTTCATGCTGATGACTAAGTTTACTTCAGTTTAGTATCACCAAATTTAGTATCCAGCAACAATATGGGAAAAGAGTATTGGAATGGAGTCTTGAAATGTTTTGGCAAATACGTATGACCACATGATTAGCAGTTTCTGTTCCTCTGTATAAATCCTAGGGATAGGCTTCAAGCCAAGAAAACTGCATGACCTAGGCCAGTGATGGCGAACGTATGGCACGTGTGCCACAGCTGGCATGCAGAACCGTTTCTGTGGGCATGTGAGCCATAAGTCGCCGGATTGCTACTGTCCCGCAGCTAAACCTCAGGAGGAGGCTGCAGCCATGGTGTTGGCGCTGCAACAGGCGGCCGGCCAGGATCCAGAGCAGCTGGTGCTGACGGTGGATCTGGAGTGGGGTCTCAAGGCATCTCCATGCCCAGGATTCCTCCTCCTGCCGCCACTTCTGGTTCCGCCGCCTGCTGGTGGGGTTTCCCCCCCTCCCCCAGTTTGGGCACTCGGGCCCAAAAAGGTTTGCTGTCACTGATCTAAGCCATGTCCTCAGCAAAGATTTAAGTCACCTGCCTTTTAAACAGCAAAATCTTCTAGTAGTAAACTGCTTCTGACCTGTAAAATTATTTCTAAAGCTGTGTCTGTCTGAATGTCTGTTTGTTTCTGTTTGACTGGTTGGAGTGGTGGTAAGCACTGGCTGTTTCCAAATTAGAAAAATAAAAATACAAATAAATCATTAAATGTTGTCTTTGTTATGTGTAACTTTTCTGTCACTCTTGGAATTGAGTTCATAGAAACATGTAAATCTATGTCTGTTCCACATATATTGAAGAGTTGCCAAATGGTTAAATGGTTGGAATTAGTTATCAGTGCTAACTTTTAAAAACTTAAAATATTACTGCTTGTTAAAATACTAATAAAATGCTAACATTTTAACTATGTATGCAAACGTAACTGTGATTCCATGTTAAGCAGGCTAATATTCTAATGATACCTCAAAAAATCTAACAACTGGAAAGAAATAAAAGAACACTGTCCTAATTAAACTTCAAATTGTAATGTGTACTGCTATTGATATTGAAACAATCAGTAGAAATGCTACATAGAATTAATTTGCATACAGTAGAAGTTTAGAAGTTCTGTACTGATGCTGGCAGTCTTAAGAGAAGTTTTAATGCTGTGTTTAACTGTAGAGCAGAAGCTTAGAGGCTTCATCTGACAACATTGAGTTGTTTATGCTCCTTTACAGAAATGTCACTGACTCTTACCTAGAGCTTATTTTTACTGCAAGAATCTGTGCTATGTCAGGCTGCAGGCTGGAAGTTCTTACAGAAATGCCCTCTTGTATTTATATAGCCCAGATATATGTTTACCACTGCAGTGAGGGCTTAGACCAAGGCCTTCACGTATTTGCTGTTCTATGACTATATTGTGCCAACATGGTACAGCTTTAATTGTGTGAGGCATTTCTGTTGATTGTTGCAACAGTGATTAGTACTGTGCATTAGCATTTAGTCCATCATCTTACTTTGTAGTTGCAGTATTCAAGGACATTAATCTTTCAGTACATACAAGCCTTGACTTTTTTTCATTTGTTTTGTATTCTTTCATACATAGGTGCCTTGACCCAAGCCATTCGTAATTTTGCAAAAAGCCTTGAAGGTTGGCTTTCCAATGCCATGAACAATATTCCACAGAGAATGATTCAAACCAAGGTAAACTATAGAGTTACTCTTACTTGCTAAAACAGTTTGAAACAAAATAAACAAAAAGGGCGTTAGGAAACACTAATAAAACACCACTGCTAAGTCCTGTTTCACAATTGCCAAAAAATGTCAAAAGCATGCATTTTTGAAATGCATGCAGAGTTCAGCTTCATATAATATGAGATTTAAGATATTAAATTATGTTGAAGCCATTTGTGATATTCTTTCATATTACTGGAAACATACAGTTCATCTACAAATGTCTAAAAATAAATTCAAGCTCTTCAGATGTCTTGCTCTTGAATGCTGTGTTCTTTGGTTGTGCGCTTCTCAGCTATAACTCAGCATAGCATCTGTCCGAATACACTAAGACAAAGAGTTGTGCATGAGAAGGGTAGAGAAAGGGCACATTTTAGTACATTTGTTGGCCAGCTTCAGCCTGATGAGAATGCATATGTGTCAGGCCATTTTCTTTGTTCTTTGTAGGTTGCCGCTGTAAGTGCCTTTGCTCAGACTCTGCGAAGATACACATCTCTTAATCATCTGGCGCAGGCAGCTCGTGCTGTACTGCAGAACACTTCTCAAATCAACCAGATGCTTAATGACCTCAACCGTGTTGATTTTGCCAATGTCCAGGTATGCCAAAATTTACGGAATGCAGATTGGTGTTCCCCCTGCCAACTGTCTCAAATCTCAACTGCCAGTGACAGTTTCATCTAGAAAAACTGCTTTCTGTGCCTACATGCAAAATATGTGTTACTGAAAAATGGCAGCTTATAACTTGGCCTCCTTTCAAGAAAATGTCAATGAAACATGCAATTTGTAGACTTTTCAGATGTACCAGTCTTCCTACTTTCTAAGAATTGTTGGTTGCAGGCAAAGTACTGGTTCAATAAAATAAAATAAAATAAAGGTTGCTGAAAAGGGTATCCCTCATCAATATAAAATAAAAAGTTTAGTGGCCTATTGGAAATTAACCATTAGGTTATTTAACATGACCCATATAAATGAGCTCAGAAGCAACAATAAAGCATTTAAATCACCAAAATTTAACTCTTGATCTTTTTGAATCCATAATTTTTGTACATACCCAAAATAACTCCATCCCCTGATGTGGCTGTTGGCTAATTACCTCCCTTTGCCTTTACTTAATTTTTTACCAATGTTGACTGCACAACTTTGTTATCTAAATGATGCATGCAGACCTAGTCTTCATGTCTTCTGTACTGGGACAGGAGCAGGCTTCTTGGGTGTGCCAGTGTGATGACAACATGGTACAGAGGTTGGAAACAGATTTCAAGATGACTCTTCAGCAGCAGAGCACTCTGGAGCAGTGGGCTGCCTGGCTTGATAATGTAATGATGCAAGCACTGAAACCATATGAAGGAAGACCTAGTTTTCCTAAAGCAGCACGACAATTTCTATTAAAGTGGTCTTTCTACAGGTCAGTACTTTAAGCCATTCTGAATATATTAAATTCTGCAGCATGCATGCACTTTTTTTTCTTTTGTTTGGTACTTACTACATGTGGTTAATCTAATGGCATTTTACAATAGATGTCAACCTACTCTTCCACCTTCAAAATTATGTTGTCCATCTAAAGTGAGATGAGGAAATGTGAGCAAATAAAGTTACATGTCCTTAAACTGATTTACTCTTTTTTCATAATTGGGAATGCAGTCTGACAACATCTGGAGAGGCTTGCTTTACATACTTCTAATTTAGTGGTATGTGCATGACCTTGCAGTTCTTGAACTGTCTCTTTTTCCAGCAGACACACTATTTCAGACTAGCCATCATAAACTCTTTTTAATTGAAAACAACCAAATCAAACCATTGTTTTCAATAACTTACATCAAGAAATGCTCTTAGTTTGGCAATAACAGTGTCCTAGCTTGGCAGTAACAAAAACAAACAAAAACAACCTCTCATTAGGTTTAAATCTGGAAGTGGGTGCTTCCAGTGTCCTCCAAAGTACATTGGAGTGAGGGTGCACAAGCCAAAGGTTTGCTGCTGTTCGTTCAGATAAAACTAAAGTGGTCTCTTTAACCTGGGTCATATCAACACTGATGCAGGCTTTTTTAAAATAATAGCAATAAGCATATATGCCTAAATAATTTTGCTTTTCAGAGTTACTAAGCTTCAGCGGTTTCTAATTTCCTATTGCTTTTTTTTTTAATATACAGCTCAATGGTTATTCGAGATTTAACCTTGCGCAGTGCTGCTAGCTTTGGTTCTTTTCATCTGATCCGTCTACTGTATGATGAATACATGTTTTACTTAGTTGAACATCGTGTTGCTCAAGCCACAGGAGAGACACCTATTGCAGTCATGGGAGAGGTTAGTCCACAGTTAGAATAATGAACAATATTCTCTGAAGTGTAGTTTGTTCATAAGAAAATATGTTGTATAGTGAGGAAGTGAGTTAATGATTGCAGTGAAATGTACAGAAGATTTCAACATGATGGATACAAAACTGCATTTCAGTTATCACGTCTAATTTAGGCTCCTGAACTCATAGGAAGTGCCTACTCAGCATGGAGATCATACATACATACTTACTTTATTGTTACGGCATCAAGCCATACAAAATTGAATACAAAACTTCAAAGACTGGCATGCACTACAAAGAGCCATACCAGACATACAAAAGGTAAAATATCTAAAACAGCAAATATAGCAATGTAAAACCAAGGTCTAAGGGTTTAGCTGTCTGTTCTGTCTGTTATAGCATGCCGCCCAAAATTTCGCTACAGTTCTGTAGTAATCTTATTTTGGTCGGTTAACAATTGATTACAGTAGTCCGAATCTGATTGACCTGCCATATCTTTTAAGAGAGGTGTAATATATTTTCCTCGGATCTTATTATGCCTGTTACACCTAAGCATCATGTGCTCGATAGATTCTATCTCGCCAGAGCCACATGGGCAGAATCTCTGTTCCCTCGGGATTTTCTTAAATCTGCCTTCCAGCACCGCAGAAGGGAAAGCCTCGCATCTAGCCAGAGTAAAAGCTTTCCTAAACTTATATGTCTCAAGTTGTGATAGGTAGGTAGATAGATAGGGAGCAGACGATATTTACAGCATGGAGATCAAACAACATTGTTTGATTTTGTCTTAATATATTTGCTCATGCTAAGTTTTCTGCAACCATTCACCTACTCCCCTAGTATGGTCAAAAATGTTTTTACCTGTCCTCTGAAGATGCCGGCCACAGAGACTGGCGAAACGTTAGGAAGAACAACCTTCAGAACACAGCCAAAGAGCCCAAAAAAACCACAACAACCGTTTTTACCTTTCTTTGAGTCTTTTCATTTCCTATATCCTCCTTTATTTCTACCCCTTCCTGGCCTCAAAATTACTCTTGCATTCTGTTTCTGGAGTAAAAATATTGTGTTTTCTTTTGGTCATCCCAATAGCCAGTTCACCCCCGCCTCCCGGACATAATCATTCTCTCTTTTTTTTAATCCTATCAAAATTGAACATAAATACCACTTGGGAAAATCAGATGCCTGTTTTTTCATGCTGAAATTAATCAGAGGAGCTATATTGATCTTACTGCACAATATTTATGCATTGGGGTTAAAATTAACCCCATGTCTTACAAAAAGAGGGTGAAGCAAACATTAAATAGTATTACAACATATTTACTGCTGCTTTTGTGGCATGCTAATTTTTGTTGTCTAATACTTAGTTTTGTATGCCTTTATCCATTTCCTTCTGGATGTTATGATAAGTGTGTAGTTTTATTGTGTAGTTATGTTAAAGTATTGGGTATCCTCAGGGGATGACTGAAGGAAACCCAAAGATTTGTGCTTGGGAGGATCCTATTGATGATGATTGCTACTCATGTTATTTCTGTGGAACCATGGGCATGATGGGATTTGAAACAGGACTTTTCTGCTCTATATATTGTTACGATACTGCACTGAATAAAAACATGTATTTTTTCCTGCAGTTTGGAGATTTAAATGCAGTATCTCCTGGAAATATGGACAAAGGTTAGTATTGAGAGCATTCTATATCTTTGGTTGTAAAGGGAGATCTCCTTATGCAGTAGTACTTTCAGACGCTGTTCCTTCCACTGCAGCTCCGTTTTCCCTGAAAATCCAGAATGGATGATGAGATGGAAGTGGAAGAGGCATCTTGCATGACTAAGAATGCATTTTCTGCTCTCACAGAATAATTCATAAACTCCCTTGTGTTTTTTATTTAGGAAACATATTTGTTGTATATCATGTTTTGAAGAATTCAAAATCAATGTTACAGGGGCATTTAAATTTATTGACTTTGTAAAGAAAGTTTAATTGAGACAAATATGACATAATGCTAAACTTAAATACCAGTTCCGATCTTGACACAATAAGATACTACATGGGTTTGAGCAGCATGGTTTTGGTTACACACACATTTTTAAATCAGTCAATACTGTGCTGAGGTTCGTCTCCAGGACGTGGCCTGGGAAAGGTGTATCTCAGACTTATCAAGGCCCCTGTTGTTGGTGGCATGGCAGCCATAATAACTGATGGCAGTGGCCCAGGCAACCACCTCTCCTGGCAAGGTGGCTCCACGTGATGGCTGGGGAAGTTGCTGGAGCATGCCAAGAAGCTGACATATATCAGGGGAAGTTATAGAAGTGTGCTGCACCATTGCAGGGGGAGGAGGAGAGATGATGGCTCTGTTTTCCTCCTCTGATAGATGCTTTTTCTGTCCTTTAGCTGCCCCCCTTCTCTCTCTGTATCAACTGTTTATGCTTTGCAGTTATGTTGGGGGGGGCACAAGAGTTACATATGGATTTTGAACTACACAAGGTGGGGTGTCTGGTGCCAAAACCCCAGTATTGTTGAAAGGAGAAATGTAATGACCACTGAGAAACTTAAAAGAACATTGTATATTTAAGGGATCATGGATTCACAACCAAACATATATTTGAGAAACTAGAATTATAGTTGGTTTAATGTGGATTTTAAAAAACCCTACAGGTATAATTAGGGACGTGGTGGCGCTGTGGGTTAAACCACAAAAGCCTCTGTGCTGCAAGGTCAGAAGACCAGCAGTTGTAAGATCGAATCCACGCGACGGAGTGAGCTCCCGTTGCTTGTCCCAGCTGCTGCCAACCTAGCAGTTCGAAAGCATATAAAAATGCGAGTAGATAAATAAGTACTATCTCGATGGGAAGGTTAAGGCATTCCGTGTCTAGTCGCACTGGCCACGTGACCACAGAAACTGTCTTCAGACAAACGCTGGCTCTATGGCGTGGAAACGGGGATGAGCACTGCGCCCTAGAGTCAGACATGACTGGACTAAATGTCAAGGGGAACCTTTACCATTACAGGTACAGTGGTGCCTCGTTTAATGATTTTAATTGGTTCCAAAAAAATTCACCGCTATGGGAAAACATCGCTAAGTGAAACGTGTTTTCCCGTAGAGATGCATTGAAAACCAGATAATCCGTTCCAATGGGAACGGATTGCCATCCTTAAGCGAAAATCGCCATAGGAAACATCACTAAGCGAAACGCGGTTCCCCCATTGGAATGCATTGAAACCTTTTCAGTGCATTTCAATGGGGGAGGAAAAAAATCACCAAAAATTCAAAAAGTCAGAATGAAGCCAAATTTGGTTAACAAAGGGCTTATTAAGTGCACTAACGATTTCAAGCACTCTTACCCCTTTTTAAACAATTTAACACCTTTTAAAAATAGCGAAAACGGAGCTGTCAAAACCATTGCTAAGCGAAACAGGGGGACCTAAACTATCATCGCTAAGCGAAGCAAGGTCCCGAACATCGCTATATGAAATTCCCCCATTGGAAACATTGCTAAACGGAGCGCAAGATCGCTCCTAAAACCTCATCGCTAAGCAAATACATCATTAAACGAGGCAATCGCTAAGCGAGGCACCATTGTATAATTAAAGGCAGTAGAAATACACACTGCAACATTCAGAATTGCTAGAAGCAAATAAACCTTCATTGCATATATAAGGAATGATTTATTTGACTGACTACAGCAAATGAAGGGGAAAAGATTGTATCTAGCAAGTTGGTCTTCTTGGTGCTGGATTTTGTCCTGGACTGGAAACGAGTATCACTAATTCAGAATAGTCATTGGGTTGTTAAATAATGATCTCTCACAGTAATTGGGTTCTTTCAGATTGCAGTATTTATGTTGGTTTTATTTGTGCAGATGAAGGAAGTGAAGTTGAAAGCGAGATAGATGAAGAGTTGGATGAATCTGGGGAGCCACAAGCAAAAAGAGAGAAGACTGAAATTAGCCAGGCCTTTCAGGTGGGCTGCCTGCAGCCAGTACTTGAGAGCGGAGTACAGCAAAATCTCCTGAACCCTCTTCACAATGAGCATATTGTTACTGCTACTCAAACTATCAGACAATGCAGTGCTACTGGAAATACATACACTGCAGTCTAACAAATATTAAAGTCCTTTTTTTCCAGATTATATTAGCCCTGTTGATGTTGGGCTTATCATGGGGGAGGGAAGGGATGCAAAAAAAGAAGTCTGAAAGTCGACCGTTGTCAAATTTTATCTGTGCTTGAACATTACTTTTACTGGAGTTGTGAAATGGAATGAGTGTATGTATTTTGCCAGGTCTCTTTACAGAAAAAAAGGTAAATACAATCATTTTACACTGGCCGCTAAATATAAAGAGTTTTCTTAGTTTCAAGAGTCAAGAAGCATTTTTGCAAAGCTTATTGTTACTGTTTTTGTCCTCTTTATAATTAAAAGTAATTTAATTTTTTTTCTTAGTTTTTACAAAATATTTTAATGTTAACTGTTAGTCATGGTGATTTCGTATAAATAGGGTTTTTAATTAATTGCACTCTGAAATATCAAGAATTTTCCTCTTTGATTTACACTGGAGGCATGCTTCTTTGACAGCAGCTGCCTTAACGTTGTTATAGAAAGGCAGCTTTCATTAGAGAGAACTGGAAGATGCTATTTTGATACATTTCAGAGTGTTCAGGGGATATATTGGAAAATTTATAATGCTAGAGAATATGGACTGGCGTCTTTCTCAGAGAAAGAGTGATTCTCACAGTTGCAGAATAAACAGAAGCTCTGATAGAAGATGGTAATGTGTACTTCATAAATGTACAGATGATGCCATTATAGAGAATGCAAGCTTCCTTTTAAAAAATCAATTGTAATATTTTTCTTACCAGCTCCTCTCTTTTAAGACTACTGATTTCAGGTACAGTCTGCCTGAAAAAACTGATTTTGTGCAACCTCCATTTATTTTAATAGAGCTTGCACATAATTCAATGAAAACTATCTTTGAAATCAAACAAAGAGTCAAACTATATTTAAATGCGTGGAGGTTGTGTTACAATAGTGCTTGGTAGATTATGCACCTCATATACATATAGGACCACTACCCAGATGCTTTTTGTTCTTCAGTAGGACTGCAGATGTTAGAAAACTGAAGTTTTAGAAAGCATTATGGATTTCTTTTTGTAAGTGTATGTGCTGCTTCTGATGAACTGGACATGCAGGAAGCCATTCCTTTCAGATGACTTTTTTTATTCTACATTCTTTTCCTCATGATAGTTCAATCTGCTGCTCTCGTTAAAGATAGTTTATAGAATGCAAGGAATGTAGCAACCTGCATGGTAATTTTGCTCAAAATAATTCCTGGTTATCAAGTGGATTTCATTTTTTTACAAAAAAATGTTTAAAGACAGTAAAACTGGCACATGTCACTTGTACTTATTTCCCAATTGCGTAGAATTTGAATAGGTGGCTAGATGGACCATTGCCATTTAAGAATGTACATCAGGGATCATTGTACCTCGGCTATTACATGGTGCCTTAAATAGAACTGAAGCTAAGATTTTCTTGTTAATAACTCGTACATTAATTCAACAATGTGTGCCTGTCTCCTTTCTTTCTCTTTCCCCTCCCCCTTCAAATTTCCTAAACAGTAAGGGCAGGTTACATAGTCTTCAGAAATCAAGATTTTTTAAAATTAGATATAATATCCCTCTTAGAGTGACAGCCTATTTCTTTCTTATTTATAGCTGAATTTCACTTTATTACTAATCAGATTTTCTTGGGTGCGGGGAGTGGGTAAAAACAAAACTAGCTTTAACAATGTCAAAGGTCAACAAAATAGGTTAGCCAATTCTCAAACAAGAATTTATATATATATTTCTAAACCCTTATCTACTTTTAATTTTAAAAACTAAAGCAGATTTTTTTAAAAGCAGCTTATAGTTTCAATTGTGTATATGGTGGGGGGGTCAATCTGCTCTTTTATTTAATGGTTAAATCATACTATATATTGTTTCCCATCAAACTGACTTTTTATGAATGCAATGAATTAAACATTTTCCTTGGTTTTAAAAGATATCTGAAATTTCCTTAGTTTCATCGAAATAGACCAAAAATGAAGGAAAGCACAAAGATCATTTAAAGATTTTATAGCAAGACCTGGGAGAAGAGCAATGGGTCTTGTTATTTGTCTGAAAGACATCATTTAAGATTACAGTCACCAAATGCTTGAATTCCCTGGGAATTATTCATATTTTTATATGAATAATATATATACAGGTTTCATCCTCAATTATTCATCTTAATTTTTTGCGTTATGCGAGGCACCACTGTATATACAATTATTCATCTTAATTTTTTACTTCTGTTCTTGTTTGGACATTTCTGTTTCTAAACTAAGCTTTAAAAATGGCTTAGAACTCCAGAATTTGAAGCCCTCTGGCAGTGAACTAGGCATTATGCTTGTTAACTCCTGCCAGTTTGTTAAATCTATCCTCATATATTCCATTACAATTTTGTTTTCTGTTTTAAAATGTGTTTTTTTTCTCCTCAAAAATGTTCACATTTGCACCCCTCACCAAATTCTAAGAATAAACTAAGCTGTGATAGTTACTCCCTCTCATTGTGCATTATAAAATGTTTACACTTATATACAGTGAAATTAAATGTAAAAACAAAGAAACACTTTTCAGCATAGTTTTTTAAGGATCTAACAAGGATGTTCTGTATTAGATGAAATTTATTTAAAGGTAAAATCCTTTTCAGACGGCAAACTTGTACGTTTTCTTATCATTGTCTTTTCCATTTTAATGTTGGATTTTGTTTGTACAAATTACAAAGATGCAAATTTAGTTTTCTGAGAGAGACAGGGCTTGTAAATTTCCTATTCAACTTCACCCTCCTTTCGTAGTTGATCACTGTATTCAATGTGCCAAAAAGATCAATACATCATTGTACCCTTTGTCATATCTTAATACAGACATGGTATTCTGCTCTACAGTAGAACCTTGCAAATAAATTGGATCTGGATCTTAGCAGCCAAATGCATCTAAAAATGCTTCAATATTTAATTTAAAAAGCAAATACAGATTCAGCTAATCTAAACATATGAGGGCCACTTTATGACCTGAATCAATGGCAGTTGATGATTTTCTTACTTTGTATTATACTCTTATTGAGAACAACCAGCAGCTCTTTACAGATCATAAAGGCCCATACCTGCACTATTCCCAGAGGTTCTTCAGTATAAGAAGTTACATCATTTAAAGTTGCATTTTACTGCTATATGACCTTTGCCTATATATGCATAACTTATAAACAATTTGTGAAACTGATATGTAACAGCTGGGATCCAAAGACAGGAGTTGAATTCTAGCATTCTGTGCATATACATAACAAACAAACAAATAAATATGCCAAGCTTTCCCTAGATTGTCACAGCTCCTGCGCACATTGTGTGCTACTTCAGAAGACACCTAACCTTTAGGAGAATGGAGCTCTTGGAAGTGCTGGTTTGTGCACAAATGGATTACATCTAATGCTTTGAGTCCGTGGTATAATCCTAAAATAATCAAGTTATAACCGTTCTATATAGCATAAAGTACTGCTTATTTGAAACACTTCTGTGAGTATTGCAGGAGTATGAACCCATATGAGTTGTGGGAAATGTGTTTCTTAAAATTAGGTAAGGAATAATATTTTTAAAAATGGAGACTTTTTGGCTAATAAGCAGGTAATTCAGTGATCAATGTATGTGATGCCATTGAAATTCCTTATTCAAATGCAGGGCCCACTTTTCATAAGCTATTGATGAATGCAAACTAGTTGGTGCTGTCACTTTAACAGATTTTGTACTGTCTAGTCAGAATTCTTTGCTTTGTGCTTATTTTTGTATTATAACTTGGAATTGCAATGCTACTTTAGAGATCAATCACCTTTTTAAAATGTGACTGATGTGCAATGTTATCACATTTGGTTTATCATGGGTGATAACACTTGAAACAGTACTGATGGTACCGTCATTCAGGAATGTACAGATCTACATACAATTTTCTTTCATTTAAAACGAGGTATTTCTAAGCATTGGAAACACTTTTCTCAAATTATTTTCAGTAAAACATTAAATACCTTTATTGTTTTGTCAAGGCAGATGGGTAAGAAAGTAGATGAGTTTGACATGGATTCAACTTAATTTCCTTTATTGTAAGAGAGAACCCTTTTGACAAACATTACAACACTGATTTCAAAATAAGTAATACTGAGCAGTACTAGTTCGTGAAAACTGGGCCCTTATTCCCACTTTACAGCTAAGTCTCTGTGTATATGTTTAAAAGGAAAGGGAATTCTAGTACTGTTGCTAGATTGTTTAGTAACTAAAGAAAACTGGAATAGAATCATAAATGCAGTGCTTAGAACTAGTGTTAGAAGGTTCTTTTTGATGGTAATGCCTTGTATTAACCCTTTGAGCATTGTACACTAATATCATTGGCCCAGGATTATGTGTGCACTACATCCACTCCTACCAACAACAGCCTGATACAATGCCCATTGTATGTGCCCACTTTTGCAGAGGAACAAGCCCTGGGAATTAGAAAAAGGGAACTAAGAAAGGGGAAAACTGCCCTACTCACAGACTTTGGTTTTAACTTTTATCTTACATAGATTCATAACTTGAATTTGAGACAGACATCTGATTTTAGGTTTACTGCATTTAGAATAAAATATTCACTGCCATATATCTATGCTGCCTACAGAAACTTGTATTCCTACTATTTTAGAGGCCACCTGAATTGTAAATTCCGTAACATTTTTTCACAATTAGATATTTAATGAGAAAATGCATTTATTTCAAAATAGCAGAGGACTCATGCTAGGGTAGTACTGCAAATCTGTAAATAGGAACTGTATTTCAAAAATCTGAATTTTATAGTATGTTCAGAGTTTAATTCTATATACTACTATTTCAAGTATATACAAAATATTTCCTTGACCACATTCCAGTTAATTTATGTGTTTTTGAGAGATAAGTGTATAGACTTAGAGGTGTCTCTAAATTTTCTACTGCAATCACTGTGCTACAAGGCAAGCCACATTGTGAAACCAGAAGTGTCTTGCCACTTCAGCACTGTGAACATCTACTGTGCTTGAAGAAGCCTTTGGTTGTGCATAGTTTTGTCTCTATTGCAGGCTTGAGTCACTGCATCAGAGGATGAGGATGTGTAGTCTTCCTGATACTGTCTGACTTGAATTCTCATTGCCCCAAACCAGCATAGCCAATAGGGAGGAATAATGGGAGTTCCAGTCCAACAACATCTGGAGGACCACATTTGCCCCATCTTTTGAACTGAATAATCCCATCTCCAAGTTTGTTATTAAAGACAGGCTGGTATATTTCTTTAAAAACAAAGCATATTATTCAAAAACAAGGCAGAGATCATACAGCAGTGAGTAACCTTTTAAACCATAGTAACAAATGCCAAAGCCATCTATTTTCTAGATCAAATCTGTGACTCTCCATGTCAGAGGTGCCCCTAACTAACCCTGTATGCTAGCCCATCTGAACCTTAATAAATCTCCTAGTTTTGCTGTCTGACTGAGACTGCCACATCATAACTGGATTGTCAAGTAGGTGACAGCTCACATGCTCTTGAGAGCTACTTTGGCTTGGCTAATCAAGTTTTAAAGGCTTGCTCTAGAACAGAGTTCCCAACCTCAGGTAACCCATGTGTTCTTGGACTGGAAGTCCCAGAAATCCTAGCCAGCACAGCTAGTGGTGAAGGCTTCTAGGAGTTGCAGTCCAAGAACATCTGGGTTACCAATGTTGGGAACCACTGCTCTAGAAGATACTGTTCTACAAAATGTTAGTACATTGGTTCTAAGCAGTATCATCAGATCTATGCTGCCACTTTGGAAGATACTGGAATGCCGAAATTCTAGCCATTACTCAGACAAGCTATTCAAATTAATGTGTAATTAAATCTAAATGCAATACTCAAAGGGTTTTTGAATTTATTATTCTTAATAATTTACTGTAAATGCTTCTCAGTTTGCATGCCTTGATCATTGCTGCTAGTGATTTTATGTGCCAGTACAACAGAGTTTACGTTACCAATTTTACTTAAGAGCTAAGGCCACTTACAAAGTGACTATCCAGAGTCTCTTGGCTGAAGTACCCCCTCCTTTTCAAAATAAAATTGTCTTCAATATGATTTGAGTTTTCTTCTTCTTTTCCAGTTTAGTTTGCTTCTCCCCTTAAAAAATAATTTTGTTGGATTTGGAAGCCCTGAGTAATATTTGGTAAGAATCTCTCTGTCAAATTGATTCTCTAAAATAAAATACTTTGGAATATATGGTTAAATGAAAAACATTGAAAACCTCATTTGCCTCACTGTGGATGTAACACCTAAAATGCTGATGATGATCAGCCTCCTTGTACAAACCACAGGGCGAATGATGCACGGCAGCAGTGCCTGTGGATTCTGCTTTTGATACACAGACTCATTTGAAGTCTGGGAAAGAAGTATCCTTTAACCGAGTGCTAACTGGGTGGGGCAACAGGCTGTATAATTATTTCGTATAAGGCCTAATGTGACATTACAGCAAAACACTGAGACAGCTGAGAGGCTACTTTTGACCATTTGCTGCGTTATGCAACTTTAAACATTTGCAGCATCCACAAATTATAGGTAAGTTAGAGAAGCAGACATTAAACCTGTGTATTAATACTAGGTGAATAGAGACTGAATTACTGCTGAAATCTTCTTACTTCGCAAAGAAAGTTGCAGCCAGAGGAATCACTAGGGATGTGGTGAGTTAACACCTACATAAATTCAATTGATTCAATGGGCCTGCAACATGCTAAGCAGAGCAATAGGATTGGAGCCAATGAAATATAGCTGCCTACAGTTTGTCCATAAGAAGATTTTTAAAAATGTTCACAACTTTTGTAAAGCAGAGTAGAACATTTGTTACAGAAGTCTAAAACCTAAATGTAATTTTGATTTGCAAGGATGCCATATAGTACTTTAAAGAGCTGCTTATTATGATGTCCACAGTATATCCTCATGCAAGAGTATACAGGCTCAGCTAATTTGTGAAATTACATCTAGACATGAGAACAATTTTGAAATTTAATTACTGTTGTAAAATAACCAAACATCTTCAGCGTACAGTTTAACCAAAGCAAATTTCTCCTGTATATCTTAATTTCCCCATTTGAAGTTTGATTTTTTCCTATACTAGCTAGTGAGGCTGTAAACGATAATACATACTTTTTTGTGCCTTCTAAAAGTCTTGGGAAATTTGT